CCAAGCCTTCGACCTCGGGTCAGGCTAGCCGCAGCTCCCAACCGCCGGCAAGGGCGCGACCGGCTGCCCCAGCGAGGGCCTCGGCGCCCCCGCCGGCGCAGACCCCAGCTGCGCCGACGGCGCCAGCGCCCGCAGGGCGCAAGGAGAGGAGAGGCGCTCCAGCCCGGCAGGCTGGAGTTGCGGCAGCGGTGGTGGAACCCGCCCCGCGAGCGGAGGACGGCGGCGGGTGGCAAATCGCCGGCGAGGCGAGGAGAGTCGCCAGGGAGGGCCGGAAGCGCCGCAAGAAGGCGCAGCGGCAGCGACGGCAGCAGCAGCGCAGGGAGAAACGCGCTGCTGCCTTGCTCCTCGCCCCTAAGACCGCGGCTGTAGTGATTACGCTGCAGCCCGAGGCGGTCAATAGGGGCGTCACTTACGGCGACGTCCTCGCCAAATTGAAGGGGGCGGTATCTCCTGCGGAGTTCGGGGCGCCAGACGGGTTCGCGGTCAAGGTGACCGCTACCGGAGCCCGTCTTTTGGAGGTCCCCGGCGCGACCAGCGGCCCATCGGCCGACGCCCTGGCCGAGAGGCTTAGGGCGTGCCTCGGTGCGGACGAGGCCCGCGTGTCCAGGCCCACCAAATGCCTGGATGTCAGGATCTTGGGCCTGGACGACTCCGTAACGGAGAGGGAGGTGGTGGCCGCTGTGGCCAGGACGGGAGGGTGCCCTGCTGACCAAATTAAGGCAGGCGCCATCCGCCCGGACAACTCGGGGCTGCGCACTGTTGTGGTCAGCTGCCCCGTCACAGCGGCCAAGAAGCTGAAGGAGGGCAAAAGGCTCTTGGTGGGATGGGTCTCGGCGCAGGTCAAGCTGCTCGAGACCCGGCCTCTGAGGTGCTACCGCTGTCACGTGGGGGAGCACGTGAGTGTCAAATGCACCTCGGAGGTGGACCGCAGCGACTGTTGCTTCCGCTGCGGTCGGCCCGGTCACAAGGCCGGCTCGTGCTCCGCCCCGCTGCACTGCAATGCATGTGCGGCGGCTGGCAAGCCGGCCAATCACCGGGTCGGGAGCAAAGGCTGCTCCCCTCCCGCCAAACCCAAGGGCAAAGGTAGGCCCTCCGCCGCCCCTGCCGTTTCCGCCGCCGCCGCCGCCACTGCCACCGCAGTCGCCGCTGCCGCCACTGAGGAGGTCGGAATGGACTGCCAATAATGGCCCCATTCCGCCTCCTCCAGGCGAACATCAACCACTGCGCCGCTGCTCAGGATCTCCTGCTCCAGAGCATGGCGCAGTGGTCGATCAACGTCGCCGTGGTCTCCGAGCCGTACTTTGTCCTGCCCAGGGATCACTGGGTGGCGGACCTGGACGGCTCGGTGACCATCATCTCGTCGGCCGCCGCCGGTACCCCGACTCTTGAGGCTGCTCAAAGAGGCCGGGGTTGTGTCGCAGCACGGTTCGGAGAGCTCGCTGTGGTGGGCGTGTACTTCTCTCCGAACCGAACTCTCGCCGAGTTCCACAACTCCTTGAGGGAGTTGGTCACTGTCGTCGTCGGGTTCCGTTCCCTCCCCGTGCTCGTCCTCGGGGACTTCAACGCCAAAAACTTGGCTTGGGGTTCCCGGTTCACCGACGTCCGGGGTAGGATGGTGGAAGACTGGGCCCTTGAGACAGGCCTAGTCGTCCTGAACCGGGGTTCTGTCCCCACGTGTGTGCGGATGCAGGGCGAGTCGGTGGTGGACATCTCGTTCGCCAGCCCTGCTCTGTCACCGCGTATTGTTGGCTGGCGCGTCATGGAGGAGGTGGAGACGTACTCCGACCACCGGTATATCCGGTTCGACGTCTCCGCCGAGTCCGCAGACCCGCCGGTCAGACAGGCCCCATGTGGCCCGCGTTGGGCGCTGAAACAGCTGGACCGGGAGCTGCTCCTGGAAGCCGCCATCGTGCAGGCCTGGGTGATACCACCGGTCAGGCCTGCCGACGTTGACGATGAGGCCAAGTGGCTCCAGGACGCCATGTCCAGGATCTGTGACGTGGCGATGCCCCGGATCCGGTCGAGGCAACAAAAGCGCCAGGTGTACTGGTGGTCGCAAGAGCTGGCAGCTCTACGCAAGGCGTGCACTGCGCGCGACGCCAGTACACTAGGCACCGCAGGCGCCGTCCGTCCTCCTAATGCGGAGGCGAGAGAGGCGGAGTTGTATGAGGGATACAGGGCGGCGAAGGCCCTCCTCAAGGCGGAGATATTGCGGGCCAAGGAGGAGGCCCGCCGAGAGATGCTGGGGACTCTGAATGATCCGTGGGGACGCCCGTACCGATGGTACGCGACAAGCTCCGTGCTTGGGCTCCCCCGCTCACTCAGAGTCTCCGGCCAGAAGTCTTGGAGGAGGTGATTGGCGCCCTGTTCCCCCGACTGTGGAGGGGCTTCACCCCTCCGTATATGACTCCGCCCCCTGCGGTGCCCGACGCGGGCTACAGCGACGACGACGATGACATCGTCCCAGAGGTGACCGAGGCAGAATTGAGAGCGGCGGTGCGCCGGATGGGCGCCAAGAACACCGCCCCAGGACCCGACGGCCTGCATGGCAAGGCATGGGTCCTGGCCTCAGAGGCTCTCGGGCCTCGATTGATTGGTCTCTACAGCGCATGTCTGGAGAGAGGCCAGTTCCCGCTTCTCTGGAAAGCGGGCAAACTGGTCCTCGTGCGGAAGACGGGGCGCCCTGCGGACTCTCCGTCCGCGTACCGGCCCATAGTGCTGCTCGACGAGGTGGGGAAAGTCTTCGAAAGAATCATTTCGAACCGCCTCGTCGCGCACCTGACGGACATTGGGCCGGACTTGTCGGACGGCCAGTTCGGCTTCCGCAGAGGGCGCTCCACGGTGGACGCCATCATGCGCGTTAGAGACCTCACGACGGGGACTGCAGTGTCCAGGGGTAAGGTCGTAGTGGCGGTGTCTCTGGACATCGCCAACGCCTTCAACTCCCTGCCCTGGAGCTGCATCTTGGAGGCACTCCGATATCATCGGGTGCCTACCTACCTCCGTCGTGTAATCGAGGCTTACCTGACGGACAGGTCCGTCAGCTACCCCGGTCACCGGGGCGAGTGGAACCGGCGAGAGATGTCACGCGGTGTTCCACAGGGTTCGGTTCTGGGGCCGCTCCTGTGGAACATCGGCTATGACTGGGTGCTGCGCACCGACCTCCCGAACGGCGTTAGCACAATATGCTACGCCGACGACACGCTGGTGCTAGCGCACGGGAGGTCGCACCAGGCGGCGGCCGACTTAATGGCGACAGCGGTTGCGACAGTCGTTGAAAAATCCGGCAGTTGGGACTCGAGGTGGCGCTCCACAAGTCCGAGGCCATGTGTTTTCATGGCCGCGGGAACGCGCCACCTCCGGGTGGGTCCCAAATAACGGCGGGAGGGGTTACCATCGGCGTCGAGACGATGAAGTACCTAGGACTCGTCCTCGACAGTCGGTGGAACTTCATAGAGCACTTCCGACGTTTGGCTCCAAAGTTGGAGGGACGGGGGCTGCGTTTGAACGCATCCTCCCCAACCTCGGGGGGCCAAACGCCTCCTGCCGGAGGTTATACGCCGGGGTCGTGCGGTCCATGGCCCTCTACGGCGCCCCTGTTTGGGCGCCGAACTTGTTGCGGCGTCCTGCTCGGACGCTGCTCATGTCACAGAGGGTCATGGCGATCCGAATGATCCGCGGATACCGCACGATCTGGGGAGTCGGCGAACCTCCTTGCCGGATTACCGCCGTGGGATCTGGAGGCGAAGGTGCTCGCGCGCGTGTATCGCATGCGCGCGGAGGCACGTCGCCGGGGCGAAACTCCGCTGCCGCGCCAGATAAGTGCGTGGCGGGATGAGCTCCGGCGCGATCTCATGGCGGAATGGCAGCAACGACTGTCGCAACCGAGGGCTGGGCTCGCTGCCATTGCAGCGGTAAGTCCCCTCTTTGAGGAGTGGCTTGAGAGACGCTACGGCGTCCTCACCTACCGCCTGACGCAGGTCCTCACCGGACATGGAAGTTTCGGGAGGTACCTGTGTCTGATGGGGCGGGAGGAAACGCCCGGGTGTCATCACTGCGAGGACCGCCCTGAGGACACGGTGGAACACACCGTAGCGGAATGCCCTGCGTGGGCTGAGCACCGCCGTGCCCTCAGGGAAGTGATCGGCGATGGCGACCTCTCGCGTCCGGGCCTAGTGCAGGCCATGATGCGGAGCGAGGGGGACTGGGATGCCGTCTCCTCCTTTTGCGAAGCAGTCATGCTAGCTAAGGAGGAGGCGGGACGCGTGAGGCAGCGAAGCGCTGCCTCCTCGCAACCCAGCCATCGCGAAGGACACACCGGGCGTCGGGGATCGCGGGACGATCTCCGGCCACCGTAAGCGCGGGCCTGCGGACGGCGAGCATGGGTGGCTCCCCGTCCGACCAGAAACAGACCCGAGCGTACGGCGCGTCGCGTTCCGCGCGCGCCTCAAAGAGCCATCAGACCACCACAGATGGGGCCCAATAGGGCCGATGCCGATTCGGAGTCGCGGAGAACCTAACGGGTAACCGGGGCTCCGGCTCGACGTGCAGGAGAAGGAACGGGGTGGTTTTTAGTCAGTAAGAGTCTGACACTCCCTTCCGCCTCGCCCAGGCGGGAGCAGTCATTCGATGATTTTCCCCCCTTAAAAAAAAAAAAAAAAAAAAAGACACGTCATTCTATCTCACAAACACAGACGCGACGTAACATTGTGAAAACGTCCCTTAATTTCCTTGTGTTTAATGTGATGAAAAGTTAGCAATAAAATTGTTGAGGCGGACTGTACACGACCGTTTAGAGACATTGCGGTGCTCAAACTTTTCGTTGGCTATCAAATCCGCGGGGTCTCATAAATATTAAAGGGAACTCGGTAAAACGCTACAGTTTTATTTCCAACGTATATTTGACGCGTATTTTGTTCTCATATCATCTGCATATTCACGATGAAAAACTGTGATGTCAATCAAAACACGGCTTTTTGCGCTTGTTCAAATTGGATGAAATGAAATTTGGTGGTGTAGAGCGTTGGATATTGAAGCTTTATCAGGTTTTGTGGCATGTAATGGGTTTGTTATATTGACGCTGTATGTATAATGGATGCTGCACTATATTAAGAGCTAATATTATTTGTTTGGCGGTGTATGACGTGATTTCGATTAACTATCATGATGTTTTATTCCCTTTGGGTAAATAATTGCTCTACACAAATTGTTTGGCTTTCGTGTCTAAATGATTGTAGTTAACATAGACTTGGAAGCCAACAAATGAAGTTATCAAAACCTTTTTATAGAATTTCAACTATATCATCCTGTAATAAAGTCAAAAATGTAGTGAATAAGTGAATTAACAGTTAGGATAGCTTTATACGCTGACACCGTCCGTTTGTAAACTCCCTTTTCCGTAGACTCCGTTAAGATACCTAATTTTTGTATGTATGTAATATATACAGGCCCTAGAGCACTGTTTCATGCGCTTGCTGAAAGTGGGGTCATAGCTGAACTTGACATGTCCTGGACCAGTCTCAAGCTATCGACAGAACTCGCTCCCCTGTTTAACATACGCACCTTGAAGAAACTGAATTTAAGTAATAATGCGTAAGTGTTTTTTGATTAATACGTTTAAATTAACTTATAATATGACAAACAATACGGATTACCTATTATCCAAGTTATATCTACACTAATATTTGTGCTTTTGTATGTTTATAGGAATGTTTGTAATGTTTTTACACGAAAACTATTAGACCGATTTCAAAAATTATTTCACGATTGGAAAACTGCATTCTTACAAAACAACATACCACTAAAATCTTAAAAAAGTCGCATGCAAAACGACCTAGTCATTTATGTAGCAAATTATTCTTAATTTCCAATTCTTCATAATACTAATTTCATTATGTTTCTAATGTGTAAAGGGATCATCTCTATTCGATGATAAAGAAATTGTATTAAGAATGTGAAAATATTTCTGAACCGGATTGATTCAGAAATATATTCACATTCTATTTTAAAATATGCCATTTCAATATCGTTATTTTTATGTGAATTTTGGTGAATGAAGTCGTCTTCATTCCCAAAATTGTGTAGATTCAAATTCTTTATTGCGTTCCACAATGTTTTACTTAGGTGGTAACATAGAATAATACAGATCATTGTGGACCCTGTCGAGCACAGCAAGGAAATATATAATTTTAATACAAAAAAAAAATACAAACTAGCATTACTATCAAGGACTGAGTTCAGCTTTAAACAACCAAATTCGTAAAATTACCACGCAGATTCAATTCCTTATTCAGAGTCAGACAATAACCAAAAAATTGAAACTTCGCAATATTTTGAAGTGAAAACATCCTGATAGACTGGTTCCTGGAATTTACGTATAAAGTACAGTTGTTTATCATTGTACCCATGATATAAAGTTACACTGGAAGGTACAGACTCAGAGTCACAAGATACATTTCCTTATTAACTGTAAATGAGATACAATTACGTCTATTTTGAGAGAGATACTTGATTACCTGAGAAGTAAATGAGGACGTTGAGAGTGACAAGTAATGCGCGCAAATTATTGCCACTTCTGGTATTCTGACCTTGATGGATGTTTGTGAATTTTGTTCCTTCTATTGCTATTAAGGCGTAAGTCAGCATGATTATTAATTTGCTCTACAAGGGATATAGTTTTCCTTACAGTTCCAACCTAATTTCTTCCGTATTTATTAAGTTTTTAATGATGCATAAAAAGATCCATCTACAATAACCCTTATCAATGTCCTAAGTCTTCTGTCTTCATTGTCTGTCATATTTTTTTATGGAATAGAAACGAGCAGACGGATCACCTGATGGTAAGCACTCGGCGCCGCCCATAAACTCCTGAACACCGGAGGAGTGTGTTACCGGCCTTTTGGAGATTCGAAGTTTGAGGATTGATGGGGTTTCAAGGATTCGGAAGATTGCGTAATTTGACCTCATATTAATAAATTCTAACTTAGTATGGATGTTTTATGTCCTTAATGAAAAGTTACGTAGATTTGTCTATTTTCAGTCTTCCTTCTGCATCAGCAAGAGTAATAGGCAAAAATCTCCACCTATCACGAGGGTTAGATTTATTGGACCTCTCTTTCAATCCGTTTACTCCATCTGATGCGCTGTTTTTACTCTCAAAAATGAAATTGTCTAAGGTCAGGGTAAAGGAGTTACGTCTTGATAATATTCCAGTTAGTACGGAATTTCCTGCTGTGAGTATATATTTTATAATCAGTTAAAAAATACAGTACTTAATTAGAATGAAGCCTAAGTAAAGAAATGGTTTGGTTTGGTAAAGGATAAAAAAAGGAATGGTAAAGAAACTATAAACGTCTGTTTATATTCGTTATTAGCATCACATAAACTGATGATTGAATCTTTACCCTTTTTTCAAGACTAAGTTTTATTATCCAAAAACATTAAAATTGAAACATATTTTGCTTATTAGATATACCGATGAACGATTAGACGGATCACCTGATCGTAAGCAATCGGAGTTGCCGACCACACCGAAACATAACGCAAGGGTTGTCTCACGTCAGTTTTCTCTGAGGCCGTGGTATCACTCCGATTGAGCCGGCCCATTTGTGACGAAACATGGCCCTACTACACTTGAAATTAAATTATGTTTCTGATTAAACTTTTATCACAACATAAGTTTATTTCGTTTCAGGAACTAAAAGAAATACTAAAACTAAAATTCCGAAGAAACACTGTTGTAACATACGGTCATGTTCTCCGCAACTATAATCTGCCTGAGAAGGACATAAAGATTATCGTCATGAAACGACTTGTGCGCATTACACATAGGAAATCGAAGAACGCACTAGATGTATTGTTAGTTGGTTTAATATTAATATCTATTACAGTACTGCGAGTTTCATACATTACCGCGTTTAATCCTCTGATTGGCTGATTATTTGGAGCTGGCCAATCAGAGTGCCGAACGCTATAAACGTGTCGTTCACGTTAACGTTAGGTCCATTTGGTTTGGTTCTTTATAAATCCACTTGTTTTGGTAGTGTCATCCATAAGAAACCCCCCCTAAGGATTTAAGTCGTACCTGTTTATTTCTTAACTGAAAATAGATAGGTTATGAGAGAAAAGCCTTTAGTTAACAATCTACCAACTTGTGCTGTCTGACTTACTGATGATGATAATGATTTTAAAACAATTGTTTTTTTTTCAGAATGTATTTACTTGAATATAATCGTACACAGAAATACCTCGACTTGGCGGAATTTAATCGCTGCATGAGGACGAATGAAACTCCATTGAAAGATGAATTTGTGGAACAAATGTATAGATCCTTCCAAGGGATAAAAAATGATGCGGGAGGTAAATTTGCCAATCTAGATGGTGAGTTTTGTTAAGAATATCCCGTACTTATTATATTACGTACCCTATAAAACATATTACGCGACGATCTCCGACCACTGTAAGTGCGGGTCTGCGGACGGCGAGCAAGGGTAGCCGCCCGACCAGAACCAGATCCGTGCGTTCTGCGCGCGTAACACATACAAAGATTTAATTTGAAAACTATATCACTTAAAATTTTTCACATTTTTCTGATAACTGTTGGTACCTTGCCAGTCAACTGGTGCCATTTGATCGTCGACTTCAGGGACACCCTGTATATGAGATAATAGAAGAAGAAGATTGATCAGCCTTTTATATATTTTGCGTTCTTGGATACGAATCCAAGAAGAAGTGTTTCTTTGAAGATACTATAGGACAGAGTTGTCTCTGCCTTATAGAATAACTTAAACTTTAAAGCATTTGCTGTGTGGTTTCGATATTAAGACATTGACATAGAGAGCCATGGCAAATGTTGTAATTTGGCCTTCTTTATGTACACACACGGACCACATTAATGAAATACCCAAATTAACGGTACATTTATATACATTTAACCATCGGCAATGTAGAAATATTTATTTTAATGAATTTCTCTCGGCTGATACTCTATGCCCAATGCACGTGATGGCTATATTTCTTTTAACAGTAATGGTTGACTATATACATCGGCTTTGGCCGGATAAGAAACTGCCGCCAACACCACCACCAACGCCACCCTCGCCTCCTGGAACTCGACGTACAAAAAAGAAATTACATAAAGGAAAGAAAGTTGTAAAGAAGAAATGAAGAAACTTAGAAATATGACAAAAATAAGGAATTATTTTAGGAAACTCTCTCTTTTTTGTTCTAGAAAACCAATGAGAACTATCGTTTCTCTGTGATTGACGGTATTAATGTAGTATTAGGTTTTGTTTGTCCAATCACTATAACTGTGAAAAGTTTTATGTCTAATTTATTTAATACTAGCAAACCCCGGCGAACTCCGTTTCACCACCAGATGGCTTCATTTGTAACCAACGAATGTAAAACCGTGGAAATCGGTTCATGCGATCTGGAGTTATAGCGTCAGGAAGGAAAACTCGACTTATTTTATATAGTAGATTTATGTACACACATACGGCATAAAGAACAATACATAATTAGTGGAGAGCGGTAACCGGTGACCGCTTGGGGATCTATGGGTTAATATATAAAATTAAAGTACAAAGGTACCACCTACTGGAATTTCTTCCTGTAGACCTGTCGCAGAAAAGTAATAATAATATAATGACATGTCCTATGGTTTGACGCTATTAAATTCTGTTTTGCGACTTTAGTTCTTAGACAACGAATTCATAATACTAATCCTCCTGTTGTACTTACCGCGTTATTCATTGGGTCGTAATAAATGAGAGGCCGTCAAACAATTGACCAACGCTGCAGAATTGTCTGTTCATCACATGTACCCTTTCCGAAATAAGCTGTCGAGTTTTCTGTGTTATAAATAAATAAATAAATTATCTGTATTCTAGGTCCTATTTTTAGAGACTTAAGAATAAGGGTTAGGGAAGACAGTATTTAGTTTTAGTTCTTAATTTGTAGTACTTTTTACTGTAATGTTTGTGCCTTTATTAAGAATCATGTAATAAGTCTTATGATTAGCGATTTACATTCATTACCAACTTCAAACGAGGAGGGCGGATTATTCTTGGATGTTTGTTTGTTTTTAATGATATTTTTATAATTATAATTCTATTAGACTGTCCGGACAAGGGGTCTCGGGTTCGATTCCCAGATCGGGCAAACCATTACTGAGTTTAAAAAAAGAACTCAGTAGTAGCACGGAATTGTGCCCTAATGGGCCAACAACTATGGCAATAGGGCACACCTCTATAACATGGGACTTATAACACAAAAAAAGTGAGTGTAAAATTGCACAATGATATTAAGTGGCAATAAGTAAGTGCCGTAATTTGTACCTCTGCCTACCCCATCAGGGATAAAAGGCTTGATGTTATGTATGTGATTCTATTTGTTCCAATTAAATCCATTGAATTTTGTTCAAATTTTTGATGTAGCTTAGACATAAATCTCTTTTAAATAATGAAGAATGTGCAATGTTGCTGTACAGACAAATCCAAATAGGTACTAAAAAACCATTTTATATGTGCTAAATGTTTTCATTTACGTATTTTGAATGCTGTAGTTTAGTAGTTCCAAGAGGTGAGGTATTTAAAACAATATGTGTATCTTAAGTTCTACCGTTCATACTGAAATATTTAATTTGTTTATCTAAAGTCTGTGCTATATTAATTGCTAAGCGATACTTTTACAATGTGATAAAATTAATTTAGGTAGATTTTAACTTTTCAACGCCACCGTCGGCTATTGGCTATGTGCAAAGCGAGTAGTGGCGGACAGATAACGACCGCAGCGCACAACACGGCAGAAATTGGAAACAAATGCGGATGATGCAAACCCGGTTTTTATTATTATATTCATTTTACAGTAAAACTATTGAATAAATTGCACTTAAATAATGTCAACAATACTATTTTCATCTTTGGTTTTATTTATATGTGCAAAAAAATTATAATGTTTACATTGTCATTATTTGACAGCTTCCGCAAATGTTGTAAACGCTACGCGTCGCCACCGTCGCGCACATAGCCAATAGTCGACAACCAAAATATGACGTGATCCGTCACAGTCGGCCACAGCCGACAAGAAAACATGATTTTTAGTACATTTAGTTTGTTGGCTAGAGCCAACTGCGGCGGTCAAAAAATGAAACATGATTAGATAGACTACTTATTGAATAAATTCCTATCTAAATATTTTCTTAATCGCGATTTCGCCCACTGCTGAGCAAAGCCTCTTCTCACACGGAGAAGGTTAGAGCATTAATCACCACACTTGCTCAATGCGGGTTGGCGATTTTAAACTTATAATTAGAAATTAAAAGTCCAGGTTTCCTCACGATGTTTTTCCTTCACCGTTTGTCAGTGGTGTCTAAATAATCTCAGAATTTATGCGTAAATATTGCATACTAGCCTCTGCCAGCGGTTTCGCCCGCATTCTCATGGGATAAAGAGTAGCCTATGAGTTATTCTAGACTATAATCTATCCCTGTTCAAAATTTAATCTCAATCCCTTCAGCTATTTTGACGTAAAAGAACAACAAACACACGTTAATAAACTTTTAAGAGCCTTTTTTTTATTTATGTTAAAGGTTATTTAGTTTTGTTATTCTGTCTGTATATGTTCAGGTATAAAACATTTGTTCATGGAATTTTGAAAGTAAAGCTTAGCTTCATATGTGACGTCACTCTTACAAAACAACTCAACTTTGTTCTCACCGCTAACGACCTAGTTTCTATCTAGCATATCTAAGCTAAAAACTTAGTCAAGTAAACATTTTGTAAGCCCATAAACCTATATTATAACTTAAGATAATATTTCATTCTTAGATTTAGCTCAAATATATGCCTAAACACCTAATTTACTATGTAAACTACCTACATACCAAGTATTATATTTGGTTGATTTAAGTCTTAAAATTTTTTGGTTCTCAAATCATTTAAGTTTAACCTTTAGTCACTTTATGATTGTATGAAACAGCTTAATGTTCTGTTATATAAGAAAAATAAATGTTATGTATATTAAAACTTGGTGTAATTGTCTTTCTTGTAGACTAGATCTTCCTGCAGATGATTCACAAAGGGACCTACAAAATCACTGAAATTGAAAACACAAACACCAAGTTTAATGAAACAGCTAATGTCCAACACCGAGAGCAAAGAGTAGGACCTAACCAAATGAACTGCACAACAAACACAATTCAAGTAACCGACAACAGTTAATTATCGGCACAACATTGAGTTTACAACAACGCGCGCATCCCTGCACTTATCAACCGCGTGTCGATACCCGGAGCGAATGGTTTGGAAAACACGCCACCACGCCATCGCCCCCTAGCGGAAATTGATTGCACATGACATGACGTAACAAGCTGCGGACTGGCTAGTGACGTCACAAGTACGCCTCGATATCACGTGACCGCACTAAAGGCACTCAAATTGCTTTGGGGACTGCAATTAGTATCCAGTGATGACATACTTTTGGGTAATTAGTTTATTTGGTGAATGGACCCTGGTTTGCTGAGCCTCTGTTGCGGGTCAATTTGTGAGCCGTATGGTATGGCCTGCGTTAGAGGCCTCTGTTTCCAAATTGGAGTTTATACATGGATGCTTACGATTTTACAGGGCAACGGCTTTTGTTTTCGATGAAAGTTCTGTGTTGGGTTATGGTACTAAATGTAGTTTGTCGTTTTGGCTATGGGATTTGAGAAAGTAAATTGCATCACACCACCATATTTTCAACTCTAACACTCTGAAAATAAGTCTGATATTACTAAAGTAAATAATGATAAAAGCAATACTTGTCCCATGTAGCAGGAGTAATTGAAAAGAAAAATAATAAGCACTAGAACTTAGAAGACGTTAGTTTTAATTTACTGCGTAAGTACGTACCGGCTTAAAGATTAAAGACCGCATGCTCTGGCCTTAATTACTTTCAGTACAAGTGGCCGACGAGATACTGGGTAAGTATAATGTACACGTAGTACTAAATATCTCTTTGACTTCCTCATTGATATAGTGGTTATGGTGATTGTCGTTATTATTGGGACCAAAATCGCCAAGCTCAGAAACTCTTAAAATCGTATTTGGTTTCTTTTTTAACATTGCCCCCACTCTAGTATTTTCTTCTGTTCTGTACATACACATGACACCCAGACCCGAAACAACAATTTGGGGATTACATGTTGTTCCGTGCGGGAATCAAACCCACGACACGTTGCACGGCAGCCAGTTGCCCAGTCACCGCACCAACCGTGCAGTCAACATTAAAAAGTTAATAATATCATAGAAGAACTGAAGACTGCCTCATTGGCCGAGTGGTCGCAAGTGCGACTGCCGGGCAAGGGGTCTCGGGTTCGATTCCCGGGTCGGGCAAAGTATTACTGGGTTTTTAAAAATCTCAGTAGTAGCACGGAGTCTGGAAATGTGCCCGGTATATGGCAATAGGCTCACCCCCTATTACATGGGACTCATAACATAAATAGTGAAAAGTGGGTGTTACTTCTATGTGCACCTCTGCCTACCCCTTCGGGGATAAAAGGCGTGATATTATGTTATGTTATGTAATATCATAGAACTGACTAAATTTTTTTTTTAAATAGGGGGGATAGGGGAGCCAACGGATAACCCGATGGTAAGCGATTAGCCTTGCCAATGAACACCCACAACACCAGAGGAGTCACTTTAAGGGATTAGTAGTGAAAGACACTAAAATACTCTCCTTAAAGAAACCATAAAGTAATAAAACATTTTCTTCCAAGAATCCTACTACCAGGACTATTGCTAATAGTTCAAGGTAACTAGTGTATTAATTATCCGAGTTTAGCCCCCGAGTCTAGACAGCGTGGCGACAGTTGATTGGGTGCCCGTGCTGTGCATACTCTCAATTAACGTCTCTGTCTGTCTGTTGCACTTAATCAATATTATACCTCACGCCCTCTGCATACTAAGTGTGGTGTGGGCCACATTGGATACGTTGAACTATGTTGACAACATTTAAGGACCGATTTTTCGAACGCCAGATAAATTTTAACCGAAGAATAACTTTGAATATTTGACAATTCTACCATCTTAAAAACCGTCAAATGTTAATTAGATTCTAAAGTTATAAATTAACTGATATTGAGAAATCGGCCTTTATTTTTAATTTTTTTTTTGTTATTTTCAAGGTTGTAATAGAGGTGAGTCTCTTAAAATTTATGTATTTACCATAACGTCACTCCTTTTGGTCCACGAAGGGGCACATTTTCAATTATGCTCAGATTCTGAATAGAGTACAAATCTTAACTTCATAAGTACCTTACTTTTAATTTAATTTAATTTAAATTATTTTAGGACCAACAAAAGCAGAAGAACAGTGAACTCCACCGATGTGGCAGGTTCTTACAAGTAATGCTGATTACTTTATTATCTTATAATGCATGACCTCGTTGATCCATAACCC